CGGGCGATGGGAGGCGTCATCGGGTGATGACGATGTTGCTGGGTCATCCCGGGCGAGATTGAAAGCGATGGAATGGGCATAAAACTGGAGCTACTGGAGTGTGCCGATCATGTCATTGTCGGGCGATGCAAGAGCGAGAGGTGTGTCACCAGGCGAGCAAGATGCATCGTCGGGTGATGGAAGCCAAAGAAGAATTGATGGGCTGTCTCTCCCACGTTGTCGGGCGAAGCTTTAGGTAATGGACAACAGTAGGATTTTCAAAGTGCCATAACTTGAGTTTTAGAACTCGTTTTGAGGCGTCGTTCAAAGTGTTGAATAGCTAACACGATAAACTTTAATTAGGTGAAATAAAATGAATAATAGGATATATATATATATATATATATATATATATATATATATATATATATATATATATATATATATATATATTTCCAGTACCTAAATCATGATGAAGTTAGGTTTCCCTTTATTGGGTTACATAAATGTGTATTATATGGTGTGTTGTTGATACTGTGATGGTACTATGTTGTTGCTATGATAATATGATGATGTTGTGATGATGTTTTGTATATTATGATGTATGTGATGAATTCATGGAAGATGATGCATTTTGAATCATGATTTGATCCTTATGCCAATCTTTCCAAATCAAGCCAAATCCAATCTTTTTATGTCCAAATGAAGCTTGCACGATTTTATTCTCTTCTCAGCTGTATAAGAGACCTAAACATGCACGAAATCTCAAGCTTTGATTAGTTTTGATATTTTCATGATTTTATTTTGATTTAATTTGATTTAATTGAAATAAAAATCAAAATGAATGACAAAAATAAAATAAAGACAAGTGGAAAGGGTCATGGGTCTTGTATCATGTTACAAACTCAATGCAAGCACAAAATGTTGGGCCCATTTGAAAAAAATAGCAATTTTGTCCACTTTTGACTTTTGGCAATTTTGCAAAAAGGGTCAACTTCAACAAAGCATTACTCCTTCAATTTTAACCCTAGAGATGTGTTCTTGGACTTTTTAGAAAGCTTAAAATGTCCTCTAAGCAACCCTTTTAGTCTCATCTAAATTGAGTCTTCCATTTTCATGTATGAAGTTTTGACAAAAAAGGTGTTTTTGTTGACTTTTCAAAATGACCTATAATGTCCAAATTTATATCTTCTTGTGAGTGCATATCTTGAACTTGGGAACTGAATATGGATTGTAGGGAATCACATCCTCTTCAAAATGAGCTTTGGATGGGTCATTTTTGATAAAGTATGAGAAAGTTATGCTTGGTCAAAGTTGAGTTGACATTTCCTACAAAACCCTAATTTAGCAACTTTTGGGTTTTGATGAATTATGAGTAATCCTTGATGAATCATGATCAACCCTTGATCAAATAATGAATAATGCTTCAAAATTATGATGTTTACCAAAAATCTTGAAGTTTGACTGTATGTAGGGTGAGCATTTGGGATCCTTTGGACTCAAACATCTTGATGCAAACTGAAACCCTAATTTGAGGTAGACTGTCTTAGGAGAGGGTTTGTCTGGTCAACCCTTGGAATTCCTTGAGCAATTTGAGGACCTTACTTGGAATGTATTGAGAAATATGGGAGGGAAAATTTTGGGGTACAACACCTTCAAGTATCATTTTGGATAGAGATCTGAGGTTTACATTGAAATTCTAGGGAGGTTTACAGAATGCTTTCAGTATAAATTTGAGTTTGAGTTCCGCATATCACCCGTATACGGATGGTCAAACAGAGAGAACTATATAGTCTTTGGAGGATTTGCTAAGGGCTTGTGTTCTAGAACAAGGAGGAGCTTGGTACAGTCATTTATCGTTGATCGAGTTTACTTATAATAATAGTTACCCTTCTAGTATTAGAATTACACTGCATATATTGTATGGTAGGAGGTGTAGAACTCCATTATGTTGGTATGAGTCGGGCAAGAGTGTTGTGCTCGGACCTGAGATTGTGCAGAAAACAATTGAGAAGATCAAGATGATCCAAGAGAGGATGAAATCTTCTCATAGTCGTCAGAAGAGTTATCACGATAAGAAGAGGAAGGCACTTGAATTCCAGTACCTAAATCATGATGAAGTTAGGTTTCCCTTTATTGGGTTACATAAATGTGTGTTATATGGTGAGTTGTTGATACTGTGATGATACTATATTGTTGCTATGATAATATGATGATGTTGTGATGATGTTTTGTATATTATGATGTATGTGATGAATTCATGAAAGATGATGCATTTTGACTAGCCGTGATCATGTTTATTATGTTATTGTGCATCATGCGTTCATGGCATAATTTAGGATTTCGGTCCAGTGATGTTGTTAGGACTTCGGTCCAGTGGTGTTTGGACTTTGATCCAGTGATGATGATAGGAAGATAGTCTAGTGAATGCATCAATCCCATAGTATGGATTGAGTTCAATATTATAAAGTTCTCTGATTCCAAGTTGGAATCGATCCTATTGGTGGGGATCTTTGGAGAAAATTATGATCGATTCATCAGTGAAGTTTTGGTACCATATGCATAAGTCTATGAAGTTGCATTACATTATATGTGACATCGCATAATTATTTGATTAAGTGATGTTGATGATAAGAGTTATTGTGTAATGATGATATTGTGAAAGTGTGAGTATAACATGAGGTTCTGATGATGTGTGATGTCTTGCCTATGTGCATATCTACTATATTTATTTCTTATGTCTTTTATAATGATTATGATTACTCACCCTTTCTGCTTGGAAATATTGCCTCTATTTGTGAGTAACTTGCAGGTGATCAAGAATAGTCCGTTGAAGGTTAGAGGATAGCTTCAGAGTGTGTTTATTTACTTTCCATTGAACAAGAGGGTCTTACTCTGATATATAACATCGGGGTTTGGGGATTGATTGATTTGAGCTATATGTTCTTTATGTCATTTTGATAACGTTCATTTTGTTTTAAGATGTTTTGGAGTATAAACTCATGAACCATGTTGAGAGATGGTACTTGATTGTGATGTACTGATAAAGATGTTTTGAAATATTATTTCCGATGAAATGTGTTGAGTTAACGATGATATTCTTAAAGGAATATGTGTTTAAAATCATCAAAACCCGTGTTACGGAGCAAAGTGTTTTATTATGATGTTTTATATGAATATGTGACACCCTTTGAATGGTGAATTACTCTGATCTATTTGTTGATTATTCGTTGTGTTTTAGAAGGCTGTTACAATTATAAGTTATATCAACACTTGATTTAGAATAAAAAATAATTCAGAAAATTTCTTACAATTCAATTGATAATGCAATTCTATTTGTAAATTTATTGATGAAAATCAAAGCAAGTAAAATCAAAAATAAAAGAGACACAAGAAGTTTGTCTTCACAGTTCCCTACTGTCGTCCTTACATGTGGGTATGTCTGTGCCTACTTCCAATGGAATTAGGATAATTCTTACTATACAAAATGTTGATACAAGAGAAGTGTTCAAGAGCAATTTCACAAACCTTAATACTTGTTGTTGATTCCACCCCTTCTCTTCTTTTGATCTTGAGAAAGACCAAGACACAATAAATGCAAATTGACCGTCTAGATCTTGCTACTCCTTTGCATTCTTTATCTCTAAAACTTTCGCGCACCGTCAATTTCAAATTATTGCAACACAAGACTTCAATTGTAAATTGTCGTTCTCTTGCTACTTCCTCTATATTCTTTATCTCCAAAGGATCCCTTGTATTCTTTATCTCCAAAGGACTTCACTTGACCGCAATTTCCTCTTGAACGTCTTGTACGAAAACCCCCAAATCAACCAATGATCTTGGAGGACAAACCCGCAGTTTTTCTCGGATGAAGATCCTTACAAAGCTTAACCTAATACCTAATTGGACACTATCAATCCTCGTCTAGATGACACCCCAATAGAATATTATCAGAATGTAATGTTAGTGTGTATGCATATGTTAAAGGTTGATGATGAAGAGAAATGTAGGCTAATTTTATAGTATCACCAAGCTGTGAATGATGCATGAATGAGTAATTATAGTTTTGGAACTTTTAGGGCAAGAAGGACAAACTCGAAATTAAAAAGATTTAAAAAATCCGACAAAGCTTTCGTTGTACGACGTATAACACAGGTTTTTGGGCAACTGTTTTGGAGTAATTGTAAGACTCATGAAGAAGGGAGAATAATAAGTGTTGAAGAAGAAGACGACCGAAACAGGTAGACTCTCATCCTTGTTGAGAACACACGATCACACCCACCATCACATCTCTCACTGTTAGATCTAATCTAACAACAACCTGCACAATGCGTCGAATCACACACGAGTGATTTTAACCACACATACTATATAAAGACTAAATCATATGATTTTATATATTCAATCCATTCTTGCTTTAAAATTTATTTTTTACTCCTTAAATAACTTAATCGTTAGAGTGTAAATCTTACAAATTCACCCTTTCACCGTCGCACTAAAAGTTTAATTCACACTGATTTATCCTATCTGAACTCCATTTCATGAATTCATGAGCTATCTCTAATCCTTAAATGCAACAAATTTAAATCCTATATATTAAAAAAAAAAAACTAAACTACTATTACTAAAATATAATAATATTTTCTAACAATAACTACATGTTTAAGGAATAAAATATTGCAAACGTGCCCCCGCATCACACACACTTTGTGTGAACAATTAATTTTAACAAAAAGTCAAAAATCCAAAACTTTCACATAGATGCTACTTTGATAGGCAAACAAAATTTTATAAGTAGACAGAAAGATCACTTTTTATGAAGTTGGAAAATTCAGTGTCAAGGTTCATTGCATGTGCGACACCAAACCCACCAAGTCAACAAAAGTAACTGGTTGTTAGATTAAAAGCCTTAAATCTAATACACACCTAACAGAGTTAGGTAGAAATAGAGGCTCAGATTTGTCCTCACTTATTTACAAAAAGTCCAACTTTGTGATGTTAAAATAAACAGAGAAACAAAAATGGTTGGAGGAGGAGAAAATGAAAAGAAGATGAAAATACTGTGCCTCCATGGATTCAGAACCAGTGGCAGTTTCATCAAAAAACAAATCAGCAAATGGGATCCTTCTATTTTCTCTCAATTCCATATGGTAATAATACTTATCAACACTATTTTAATATTGTCCGTTTATCTGCTATTTCTGTTTAATATTTCATATATATTAACATATGTATTTTAGTAAAATAAACTAACTATTAATGGTATTGATGGTCACAGGAATTCCCAGATGGAAAATTTGCTGCTGGAGGGAAATCTGACATAGATGGCATTTTTCCTCCACCTTACTTTGAATGGTTTCAATTCGATAAGGTGTAAAAATATTATAAACAGCGTATTGTATTGTATTGTGTGTTTGTCTGTTATTTGTGTATAATCTTTATTAAGAAATTAAATTTAGCGAAACCTATAATAAATATATTTCAGGATTTCACTGAGTACACTAACTTGGAAGAATGCATCACATACTTGACTGAATACATCATAGCCAATGGTCCCTTTGATGGTTTTCTTGGGTTCTCTCAAGGTGCAACACTTTCAGCACTTTTAATAGGTTATCAAGCACAGGGAAAGTTGTTAAAGGAGCATCCACCTATAAAGTTTTTTGTATCAATATCAGGATCTAAGTTTAGAGATCCTAGTATATGTGATGTTGCATACAAGGATGTGATCAAAGCTAAATCTGTTCATTTTATTGGTGAAAAAGATTGGTTGAAAATTCCTTCTGAGGAACTTGCTTCTGCTTTTGAGAAACCTGTTATAATAAGGCATCCTCAAGGTCACACTGTCCCAAGATTAGGTAATGCTCTCATTCATAGTGTCTGGTTTACTGCTAGTTGCTTATTTTTAAACACTCACTATTCTTGCACTGCTCAAACAGATGAAGTTTCTACTGATTTGTTGAAAAATTGGGTTGCCGAAATCGTAACCGGAGAAAAGGTTGGTGTCTCAGTTTGTGAGCATGAAAAGAAAGAAGAAGTTGATAGTACCAACGGGATGGAAATAAACATGGGAAATGCTGAAACCGTAGTGGTGGCCCAAGCTTGAAAACTTTAGATTATAAGGCAGCTGAATTTGATTGAAATTGTGTTTTTAGTAGTGATTCTTCATTTAGTTTGCTGAATTATCGAGTACTATTATAATAAAGTTAGATGAATTTGCTATCAAAAAAAAAAGTTAGATGAATTTACCTCGAATCATGAATATGTTTTGCTTGAATTAATCGAATTGAATATGATCAACTTCTTTGAATTTATTTCCTGTCACTACTAGTATAAACTAAAAAATTAACGTCAAATTCTTGTTCATCATTATAAGCAAAATAATAGCGCCAATTTTTATCCAGAAATGCTAGACACTATAAGTTACACTACACATTTGTACCTAAAAAAATTCATTAAAATATCCTAATCAATTACTTTAACAAATATTAGATGAGTGAATGAGTGGACCAGGTCTATCTCTGTCATTGTTTCTCTTTCTTTGACCATACAATTAATCAATTTGATATACATAATTAAACAACTCTTTTTCCTATTAATTAATTTCATATATTTATTTATGAATGTTTGTTAACCATGTTCTAAAATGAATTGATCAACTTTTTCAAATCTTCAACCAAGTTTATTTAGTGTTAATCCAATTCATATATGGTGTGAAAAAATTGATTAATGGTGTGTAAAAAAATAATTAATAGTGTGCATGTTTGGTTAATAAACGTTCAAGTATGTGTATAAATTTATAACATTTTTTAATATAAAGATGGTAATGGTATGTAAAAAGATGATTAATAGAGTGTATGCCTTGGTTAATAAACACTAAGACAGAGATAAAAGTTTATAACATTTTTTAATATAAAGAAAATGGTTAATAAACAAACATGAATAAATATATAAATTTGATTAATATTAAATTATTTTGGTTAAAGATGTGAAAAAAGTTTATCAATCCACTCCAGAACATGGTTAATAAACTATCATGAATAACCATATAATATTAATTAATAATAAAAAAAAAGTTGGTTAATAATAGTGTAAAGTAAATTAATTAATTGTGTGGTGAAAGAGAAAGAGAAACATTTGTCTATAAAGACCTGGTCCACCCATTGAATTTTTTTTTTCAAATATTTTTTTTTCAATTTTTTTTCTTAAATAATTATTTTTTCAAAAAATTTATCAAAATGATCACTTTTCAAATAAAAAAATTTCGCCACACAGAGGAGTAGCCACTCTGTGTGGCGCATGCATGCATTTTCAAGAGGAGGCGCCACACTGCAAGGCTTATCCTCCTCTATAAGCCATGCAGTGTGGCGCATGCATGTATTTTCAGAGAGGAGGCGCCACCCTCCTTGACTTGACAGTGTTATTGCGTTTTTTATAAATGCAACCACCCATCCTCTTCATTTTTTCACACTATTTGTTACATAACTCTTAGAAAATGTCTCCAACTCCCTTGCCAAAGTTTTCACTGATCAAAAGAGATGCGCATGTTATTTTTTCGGTGACAAATTCTCCGATGAAGATCAAACTCTGGAACATGCAGACGTTCGAGCATTTTCAGAGGCACTTGATTCGCTGGTTGGAAGGAGACATTCTTGAAGGTGAACAAATCAGAAAAATAGAAAGGCACATCACAATGAGGAACGAAAATGGAGTAAGTCGATCATGGAAAAAGGTGAGATGTGACGCTGATGTCATGATGATGATGCTTGGACCAGACGATATTGTGTTGATGGTTTTTATCTCTTAGATATTATGATTTGTTTAGTTGTTTTGTTTGCTTATTATGTTGTTGTATTGTTTTCCTGAGTATGTGGTGTTGTAATTTTTTGTGTCATTATGTGAAAGTTGTTGTAATCGAATGATAAATTGAACACGAAATGATAACTCGAATTTAAATTGAAATATTGTGTACAATAAATTAAACACTCCGGAAAGTTTGCTATAAAAAAGTTAGATTGCAGAGCTAGACCCAATATTCGGAAAAAAATTCCGATTGTGTCCGGGAAGACGACATGTATTGCATAATCTTATCATTTTGTTGGCCGTGTCCATTTCAGTTCTAATACGAGTGTTTTTCGGGCGCCCCTTTTTCTTCCGTCGCATTTGTTCATTGTGCCAAACAATGTCCCCTTGATAAGCAGGCCAATAATCCTCCTTTGCCAACACAGAGAAGGTATTGATGTACACACTTAAAACGCTCTTTACTGTGTACACGGGGGATATATGTTGTATTGGGTCCAAGCGAACATGCCACTATGACATGAGAGAAAAGCATGCGAAATGCTTGAAACTTCTCGCAATCACACCAACCTCTATCTAGTTCTACCCGACAATATCCCCTTGGCCTCTCCTCATTATGATCCATTGTCTCTTGTACACTGAACCAACCTTTAATACGGTCAAACACGGTGACACTATGGGTGTTTGCTTTCACAACCTCCTCATTAAATGTTTTCATCGTGCATTCACTGAAAAACTGCCCTGATTGTAACACTGCCCTACATTTTGAACTTCTTGTGTCAAACAATGACCCCATCCTAAAATATGTTGCTCTAACCAAAGCAGTAATTGGTAGGTTTCAGATGCCTTTGAATACAGAGTTCAATGATTCCACCAATTTTTTTGTCATGTGGCCCCATCGTTGACCATTGTCAAATTCCTTAGTCCACTTCTCCACTGGAATGTTATCGATCCACCTTAATGCTTCTGAGTTTTCCAACCTAATTTCTTCGTGATAGTGTCGGAATGACGGTTCTGTTAAGGCATACCCTGCATTAATAACTTTCTTTCAAAGTGTCTTGTCTTTGATATGGAGCATGAAGTTTTGTGTGATATGTCTAATGCAATAGACATGTGTTGAATGAGGGATCCTGCCAACCATTATCAGGGTTATTGTATGCACTCATAATCGATGGATTTCTGTCTGAAATCAAACAAAGGTTGGGTTGAGGAGCAACGTGTAATCGGAGATTCTTCAGAAAGAAATTCTATGCACCACCTGCCTCACCTTCAACTAGAGCGAAGGCAATCGAAAAAACATTAATGTTCCCGTCTTGTGCCACTTCCATGAGTAACGTTCCTTTATACTTCCCGTATAACCAAGTTCCATCAATCTCTATAATAGGTTTGCAAAATGCAAAACCCTTGATGCATGGTTCAAAATTCCAGAACAATCGATGAAATATTCCATTTCCACTAACACGAGTTCTGTCTGGGGTAAATGTCGGGAGTGTCTGCAAAATTATAACAGTTCCCGGAGCATAATATTTGAGTGCCACCAAAAATCATGGAAGTTCTTTGCACGATTCCTCCCAATTATCGTACACAAGTTCAACTGCCTTAGCCTCCCGATCCATGCCTTCCTGTAAGAGGGAGTATAATTGAATCTTGTAGTGATATGAGAAATAATTGTAATCACCTTTAATGATGGATCCTTGCTAGTAAGAGGCAAGATTTCTTGACATATTAGTTGAGAACTAAGTTTTCGATGATCCTGTGTCGGAACGATGGTGATGCAAGTGTGGAGTGGATCAATGGAACCTATTTCCCATGAATCACTTCTCTTCCTGTAAGATGCAGTTAACCGAAAATGGAAAATTGGTTTTTAATGACATAAAATAACGTACCTTCCTGAAATATTTTTATCTATAGTGAAATCAGCTAAAATTTCCATGTGGTATTTTTTGATAGCTCTAAGACACTCTTCTTTTGTTCGAAATTTGTCTCCAACTTTCGAGGCCCCTTCGGTTTGCATATAAGGATTGTGAAAGATATATGAGGATGGTTCATCTTCCCCCAAATTCAAGCTCTTCATGAGAAACAGAGGGTTGTACGCATGACTTGCAAGTACATGTTCATGCTCTTGATCTGCAGCGTCATCATTGACCATAAAATCAATCATTGCCTCATTATCTTCTTCTTCTTGGTCAATAACATCGACTTCGGGATGGTTTTCCTCGTCAGATTCATCCTCTTCTTCAAAGTCTTGAAAAGGATCTACCACCTGAGGTTGATCTGGTTGCTGTAATAAAACATACAACTCAATCTCATTGAACCCGGATTGTTCATGTGTTCGAAACATGTTTCGAACATCATCATCGTCGTGCACCTTAAGTTGATAAAATTTGACTTGGTTGTTGTCAAATAGAAATGGGGACTTGTAAAGAATTTGATAAACTGGACCACACTGCAATTTATCTTCTAGTCTATCTTTGAAGCATACAAAACTTGATTTCTTGTTCATCCGAAAGCGGATAAAATCAGTATTACCGAAATTAAAACCTAAGTTATCGCGGTTGAACGTCTCACCGTTAATATGGGCAACAATAGTATAATTTTGTGAATGATCCATGTTGTTGAGGTATGTTTTTTGTGAGTTATAGATGTATACTAGTAATGCACCCTACACAGACGATTAAATAGACTGATGAAAATATGGGATGTACTCTAAATTCTGCATGCATGCGCCACCTAGAATGGCTTATCCTCCTATTTTTACATGCATGCGCCACATAGGGTGGATTATCCTCCTATTTTTGCATGCATATGCCACCTAGGGTGGCTTGTCATTGTACAACAAAATTGCATGCATGCCATTTGATCCCTGCCACGCTGCAGGTTTGCGTGCATGCAAAAAGCAACAAGCCATGTTGAATGGCGCCTATGTGTATCATAGAGAGCATGTGCCACCTAGTGTGGCGCCTATGTGTATTAAGGAAGAGCATGTGCCACCTAGTGTGGTGCCTATGTGTATCTCCTGCATGCAAAGTATTCTTCAAGATTTTCCTATAAATACATGTAACATTCACCATATATGTTCATCACAATCATAACTCACACATTATTTCTTTCTTGAAGTATCAACAACAACACGAGAGTAATCAAGAAATAATGTCTCTCTTGACCATGGGTGATCAACATAGAGGAACTCCGAACAACATTGAAACCTTTGTAAGTGTATTTTCCTCAATACCTATTTTTTCCCGACAAATTTCCCCCCCTTAATTCTTATGATTGTTATACGTAAATCTTGTATTTCTTATACGT